CAAAAGAGCTGAGAAATAAAAAAAAAAAAAAAAAAAAATTACAGGAAAAAAAAAAAAAAAAAAAAAAAAAAAGAAAATTAGAGGAGATCTGAATCTACTTATAGGTAAAAATAAAGAAGCCACTGAGGAGCAAGGATGGAAGAAATTAATGGGGAAGTGGTGGGAATAGAAGATGGGACTTATCGATGTATACTCCTCCTTTGTGATTAAAAACAAGTTTTTTGTAGACATATGATTGAAAGCTAATATAATCATAAAAATCTTTTGAGTCAATATATTTTGAAATAAACTGACTATATCTTTAAGACACATTAAACAGGTCACAGTAATGACTAAACAGTTTTTGAGATTAAATTATATTCAGGCTTTTTACTAATTCTTTTACATTTAATCTGCACCGTATTCTTGTAAGGTCAGTACTTTTATTGTTCCAGTTTACAGATGAGAGGATTGAGGTATGGAGAATTTTAAGTAACTTGCTAGGGTTACATAATTAGTAGGTGGCAGAGCCAGGATGTGAACAGAGGCAATTTAACTTGGAAGCCTGCATTCTTAGTCACTATGGTATACTGCTTCCCAATTTGATTTCCTCAATTAACACTTAACTACTATTCCAAGTAATATTTTTGTCTATTTTATATCAGAGAAGGAGGACTGTTCTAAGGAATGTGTTTCCAAAGAGGATTGATACAGTACATTAGACAGAGAACCTGTTTGGAGGAAAGGCTCATTAAGAGTTACTCTAAGCCCCTACCTGGCTGGAACAGAGTGGCCTTCTGGCCATAGTTGTCCTAGCAGATCTTGCACGTGCAGACCCTGGTAAATAGCTGGGCAGAGACCGTGACTTCTTGGACTGTGAAAGTTAGTTAATAGGGTACAAAAAAGAAAAAGCATACATTTCCCATTGCCTGGGAAAATAACATGTGCCAACAGCTCTCTTCCAAGATATAGAAACCAACCTGTAGCAGCTGCTCTATGTGGAGGTATTAAGTATTGTGAAAACACCTGTGTGTGTCTAATTCCAGCCCAAACAAGTCTTCCGGCTCATCAAGGTGTGGTAATAATTTACCTACATGGAGATTCTATTTCCAGTAGAATGAGTTGTCTATGTTTTCCTATAGAAATTTCTCTCCCTCCCCTCTCTAAAAAATTGAGGTATAATTTACATACAAAAAATGTATGCATAATAAGTGATTAGTCTGATAAATTTTGACAATTTGTATAACCATGCAACCACCATGCCAAACAAGAAAATCCCCTTATGTCCCTGTCTATGCAGTGCCCCTTTCTGTCCCTCTGACTTCTGTCCCCATTAGATTAGTCTTGCCTGTTCCTGTATTTCATGTAAATGAAATCATACAGATATATTCTGTTGTGTCTGGCTGCAGTGTGGTGTATTCTTACAATGGAACGCTTCTTTACAATAAAAAGGAATCAACTACTGACACTACAGCAGCTTGAATGAATCTCCTATAGAGCTGTGCATTGAAGTTTGTAGAGTTCTTTTTTTTTTTATATTACTTGCATAGTCTTAGTAACCAAAATGACCCACAAAATCTGCCTCTTTTACTTGCCTATCATAGTGCGTAATTATCAACTTCATTCTCCCCCCCGCCCCGCCCATTCTCTCCTATATTATCTGTGTGCCTTTAGAATGCAGTCAATTTATATTCAACTTATGGGTGATCACGATAATGACTTTTGAAAGGAATTTAAAATTATAGAATGATTTTTTAAAAAGGAAATAAGTTAGACATGTTACATGGTTTCGTTTTAGTATTTGCAAATGTCAGGAGTAAAAGAAGCAAGGAAGCAGACCCACTCTCTTGTGGGTGGCTGTCCAGTGGGTCCTGGATGTTCATTTCATGACTACTACATGCTGCGTGCTGTGCACTTTTCATTGTCATGAGAGAGAATGTTAAGAAAACTATCCCTGCAAGAAAACAGCTTTTCTTGGCAAGTGAAATATGACTTAAGGAGCCAGAACTGGAGACATACGGTACTATGAATGAGAGCTGTGTTACTTTATTGGATCTGAGTCCAGGCACTATTTATACTGCAGCATATTCAGCACCAGATTGTTAAATCTTAATACTGAAACAGTGTATCATTTTAATATTTTTGTTCTGTTTATTCCCTGTTTTCAAGCATTATGTCAAGCATTGCGCATTCATTTATTTCGTCTTGGACAGGACGTGCCCTGACCAGAAAGTTCATTTCCTATTGTTGGAATTTTGCCCCATAGCTATCATTTTGTGAAGCTTGAAAAGTTCACTTGGGTACACAGGTGTTTTCTCTCTTTGATAATTTTTTTTTTTTTTTAAGAATAGTGTAGAGGGACTCACCTGTATTGTTAAAAATAAAAATAAAAATAAAAATGCTGTTTTATCACTAAAACATCACTGCTTTTTATGTGTGACAATTTCTGACATCCTGGAGACCACTGGATTTTTCATCGCATACAAATAAAATTTTTGTTACCCTGTATCATATGTGAAATGGGTTCCTCTATTTTTCTTCGTCAATGTTTTGTGTGCCCTGTGCACCACATAAAATGAGCCTATCTATGAATAAGTTAGCATTTTCACCATATGTTGCTGAAACCATCCCATGAATCTTCCTCTAACAAGGGTATTCCTAAAATTACTGCTCTACATAGCCCAAATTTGAAAAGGATTTTTATTATTTTTTCATTGTTATGCATGTTTACCATATCCAGCAGGAAATCCACAGGCAAAAAGTGCTATTGTCACTCTCAAAAGAGCTGAGAAATAAAAAAAAAAAAAAAAGAAAGGAAGTTGAGGGCATCTTTGCTATTTCTGATCTGTGGTCAATGACCATGGTATGGCATTTGGCCTGGGAAAGCAACCCCACTGCCTGGTGAAACACGAATATGGGAGCGAACTCTAACTGCTTCATGAGCTCCAAATGCTATTCGCACTGGGAATCACACCACAGTCAGGATGTAACTGCGTGCTGAGCCCACACACAGGAATTTTCTTGTACAATTCAAGACTGAATCTTATATTTACTTAAGGCTTACTTTTTTTTTTTTTTTTGGTCTATGAAATCAGCAGTCCTGTATATTTAGCATCAGACTTAAGTTAGAATGTGAAACAATTCTAGGGTGGAAGGAAGTATCCGTATGGTTTTCTAAGTAATTTAAGAAACAGGAAAACATAAAAGAACTGATTGTCTGTGATTAAACCTCATTCTTTCATTCCCATCTTCCTGTATAGTTAACTAACTCAATTGTCAGCCAGAAAGAAACAGCTTATTGCACCGGGTTGTAAAATATCTGAGTGGGCCTTGAACGTTGATGATTGAATGACCTTCTTAACATTGAACAAACAATGGGAAGGTTTAATAAATAGCAGATATGTGTTTATTATGTTTTTCTTCCCTGTGCAGGAATAATCAAGCTGGGAAGGTGGAACCCTCTCCCCCTCAGTTATGTGACAGATGCACCTGACGCGACAGTGGCCGACATGCTACAAGATGTCTATCATGTTGTGACGTTGAAAATCCAATTACAAAGGTGGGTGTTTCTGAACATCTGCCTTTCCTTACTCTCAGAGCTGCTCTGTCAATCATAGATTCACTGCAAAGATCAGCTTGTCCTGTCTTTATTAATTTCTAGGCATTGGACAAAATGAAAAGAAGGAGAGAGAGGAAGGAAGGAGGGCCCTTCCCCAGGTGTCTTTATAGTCACATTCCAACTGCTTTATGCTTTGTTTTCAGAAGCTGTGAAGTGGTAACCTAGGGGCAACTTGACAAATCATTAAAAATCTATATCCCTTAAAAGAAACTTCACACAGCCCCTATTCAATGGGTCCGCTAGGCCTGCTTAAATGTGTAGCACATATAGTATTTGAAGAATAAACACCTCTGCTGTTTTCAGGTTTGTGTTATGAGGGGAGAGTTTTGTTCTTGGAGATCTTTATTTTCCCTTTCTGAGGGCCACATCACACACACACACACACACACACACACACACGAAGGGGGAGTTTTATTCTTGGAGATCTTTATTTTCTGTTTCCAAGGGCCACATCAAACACACACACACAGACACACACACACACACACACACACACACACACACACACCCCAGAACAAGATATGCCTCTAAAGAACTGGAGGTTCTTTGCAGTCTTTTGTTGTAAACTGCCTTCTAGGTGTGATTTACGGAATGTTGTCCTTTAGTGTAAGTGTTTCGAATTTTCCCCTATTGGGGCATTTATACTTTAAAAATGGACCCCCAGCATCCCCCTCTGTGTCTATAAATGGGTGAGGATCTTAAAAGTTATTTTTTGGTTCAGAAAGTTAAAACTCTGAGCCATCCTATGGGGGTGAGGGTGGACCTTCAAACTGCAAATCTGATGGGGAATGTTTGCTGACATTTAATCTTAGTCATGCCCAATAATTACATTTGTATTGGGGAAGTTTATGACCACACTGCCATGCCATTTCCATCAGCACATTGCAAAAATAATATTTTATAAAAATAGCATTTCTTGTATTGAAAGTGACTATTTTTCTTAGATGAATGGGATGACAAATTTAAAAGAGACCCCTTGGGCTCCAGCAAAGTCTTGGAGAAGCAGTTTTACTTCCCTTCCCTCACTTAGACCCCATCCTTCAGCATTTCTTCTGAAGTACACACAAGACCCAAGAGCGACCGCTGCGCTGTCTCCTCTTCAGTCAGGGGCCCTGGTTGAGGTTTGTGTATTGTTCATTCTTGCTCTGTTTTGCAGTTGTTCAAAGTTGGAAGACTTGCCTGCGGAGCAGTGGAACCATGCCACAGTCCGCAATGCCTTAAAGGAACTGCTCAAAGAGATGAACCAGAGCACATTAGCCAAAGAATGCCCTCTCTCCCAGGTCGGTATCTCCAGGTGGGGTCTGGGAAACAGAGGAAGCCAATGGTAGACTCTCTAGCAGGAGGGTTCCTTCTGCTTCCATAGCTGTCTTCTCTGTCTTTTATTTATAGACTTACACTGCATTTGAGGTGTAAAAAATATAAAGATTATGCTGCTTCTGGTTGTAGAACAGAAGTTACCACTTATTGGGCGGGCGTGGGGTAGCTCATGCCTGTAGTTCCAGCACTTTGGGAGGCCAAAGCAGGCTGATTGCCTGAGCTCAGATGTTCGAAACAGTGTGGGCAACATGGCGAAACCCCGTCTCTACAAAGAATGCAAAAATTAGCTGGGCATGGTGGCATATGCCTGTAGTCCCAGCTACTTGGGAGGCTGAGGTGGGAGGATTGCCTGAGCCTGGGAGGTGAAGGTTGCAGTGAGCCAAGATTGCGCCACTGCACTCTAACCTGGGTGACAGAGCAAGACCCTGGGTCTCAAAAAAGAAAAACGTTATTATTTATTGAGACTTTTGGGGTAAGGAGACAGTATTAAAACATTTTATGCATATGGGCCAGGCTCGGTGGCTCACACCTGTAATCCCTGCACTTTGGGAGGCCAAGGCCAGGGAATTCCTTGAGCCCTGGAGTTTGAGACTAGCCTGGGCAACATAGCAAGATAGCAAGACCCCGTCCCTAAAATAAAAAAATTTTAAAAATTAAAATAAACATTTCACATATACAGTCATTAATTTCTCACATATTTCATCAGAGATAGAGACCAGTGTCTCCATTTTATAGATCAAGAAATAGAAGCTTAGAGAAGCACTTATAGTCACTGCCTAAGCATACTAGCTGGCTAAGTGGCAGGTTGAGATGCTACTCCCGACATCCCCTTTCAAAGTGGATGCTCCAGATTGTTGTTTTACTTGGTCAGTTGAATGAGTCAGCCATGCTGAACCCATCTATGCATGAGTTATTGGACCTTTTGCCTATCTGGTGTAGAGAGGTGATCTTCACATCATATACATTTATGGAGGTTTTGTAGTGAATTCACCACATGAAAATGCATCATGAGAAAAAGCGATACTCCATTTTTTAGTGAATGTACCATCAACTAATACAAGCCATGACAATGAGATTGAGAGGATCAGAAGAAGAGCAGTGGAGGAAAGGGCTGCATTTTCCATTTGTGTTCATGGGCTGGGACCCTACTTTTTTCTACTGATGAGGTAATATTTTTACCTATGGTGGCTTAAGGGCTGCTGTAGAAATGAACTCAGATTGACATATTATTTGAAGCTTTGAATGAAACCTTATTTCCTGGTTGAGCTGCTACACATGATTTAGGACAATGTCTGTTAAGTTGGAGGGAAAATGCTGGGAAACCTATTGCAGAAACTTGCTGTGCCATGAGCTTTGTTCCAGACTGTAAGAGAGTCTCTGGAACATAGGAGGAAGGCTATTGGTTAAGAGCATGTATCCTGGAATCAGAGCTGGATTCATGTCCTGGTTGACAAGCCTCTATAACCTTACCTTTATGAGCCCCCTCCTTTTTTTTTAGTAAGTAGTAATGGTTCTGAGTTATATGAAGAGGAATCAATGATTGGAAATCACGCAAAATGCTTGGCCTAATGCCTGGCATTCAATTATGCATATAAACAGTATCAGCTATTATTATTGAGAGGTGATGTGAGCTGAATGTGTGTGTGTGTGTGTGTGTGTGTGTGTGTGTGTGTCCTTTAGAGTGTTTTGGAATTTGTATCCTCTCAAGCAAAGTATGCTATTAATATTTTTGCTTCCAAAAAAATCAAGAAGGCATGCATTCACATATAGGCAGTTAGATAGAATAGGACATTATTCTGACCTATGTTTAGGACTTTTCACACAGGCCATTTTAATACCTACCTGTAGCTATGTATGTAGGTGTTAAAGCCTGTTGCATACAAAGTTATAAAATGCATATTTTGATTATGCTGGTGATATAGAGGAACTGGATAAAGAACAAGTTAGGAAAAGCTGTCAATAATTTTCCCTGAATTTCTCAATCATTCACAATTAATTTTCTCTTGCATTCACATGGAAGTCAAAATGGGCTTTGCCTGAAAGTGGGCAAAGCCTCTAACTTGATATTACCAGTTCAGAATTTTATCTAGGGCTTCTGAGGCATGCGGAAGTTTGGCCCAAACTGTTGTGTCATGACAGTCATGTTTGGTTATAACTACAAGTATGACTAGAGAGGCAGCATGAGTGGGGAGAATCCAGATCAGGAGCCGAGAGCCCTGGGCTCTAATCTGAGTTATTTTATGCCAGATATGTTATCCTGGGCAAATCCATCCACTTCTCAGAGTCTCGTTAAACTCATCTGTAAGCTGGGCATCATGGTATCGGCGTATTTCACATAGTTCTCAGGGTTGTCTTGACGTTCAAATGAGATCATCTTTACGCCTATCATAAAAACCTCTCTCCCCCTCCACTGTCTGCTCTCATGGTTTACCCACGTGGTTGCCTGACCTAAACAGTTCCTTCTCCTTCATTCTTCTGTTTTATCCTATGGTTTCTACCACTTCTCCGTCTAAAATATTTTTCTCCTGTGCCACTGCCTTGTTTATCCTTTCATAACCTATCATCTAAATTATTTCCCATCTTCTTGCCTGATGACTTTTCTCCTGCTGCCTGATTCTCCTGTGTTCCTTGTTTATAATCCCCCAGTGACTCCCCCTACCCAGACTATAAGAAGTAGGACTCTAGAGCATAAGACCATCAGGATGACACTGTTCAGCCTTATTTTTCACTAGAGCTAACTTCTCGCCTCTTCCTGTGCTCATCCTGTATTCCAAACACATGAAATTAATTATTCTGAAATGTTTACCATTGCTCAGACTTTACCAAATATCTCTTGAGAGTGGGAGCAACCGAACTAGTATAGCATTACAAATCTAACAAAGCCACCTTCTGTGTTATCTTAAAAATTAATGCCAAGTTTGTATTCTAGTCCATATACCTATGTGTTTTTGTTTTTGTTTTTTGTTTTTGTTTGAGATGGAGTCTTGCTCTGTTGCCCAGGCTGGAGTGCAGTGGCATGATCTTGGCTCACTGCAACCTCTGCCTCCCAGGTTCAAGAGATTCTTCTGCCTCAGCCTCCTGAGTAGCTGGGACTACAGGCACATACCACCATGCCCAGCTAATTTTCTGTATTTTTAGTAGAGATGGGGTTTCATTGTGTTACCCAAGATGGTCTCAATCTCCTGACTTCATGATCCATTCTCCTCGGCCTCCCAAAGTCCTGGGATTACAGGTGTGAGCCACCACGCCTGATCCCTGTGTTTTAAATATTTTTTAAATGCCATAAAATTATTTTACCTGTTAAGTTAGTCATCTCCTTCTTTCCACATGAGACTGGTTCTTCAGAAAGATGTACCTTGTTAATCTCTGGCTTTGGAAGCCCCTGCACACAAACCTGGTGACTCTAGAATCCTTCAGTTTGGCACTTGTTTGCTTTTGCACACGATTTCACCTGGCTAGAATGTACTACTCTTTTCTACTTGATGAAATTATCTTTCAGATTCCAGCTGGAAAGTTACCGCTAGTGAAGTGTCTCAACCTTCTGGTTGAAGTAGTTGCTTCATCTGCTCTTAGTAGCCTTTTGTAAATACCCCTGTCACAGCACTTAGCCTGTTGTCATTGTAACTTGTCAGTTTCCATCACTAGCTGGACTGTCCACAATAACAGAGGCCACCTCTTATTGATTTTTGTGCCCTCACCATTCAGCATAATGTATATTTTGCATGTAGTTGTTACTATAATGCAGGATAATTGGATAATTACATATTATGTAATTATATATATGTTTATATATATAATTATATACATGTCATATAATTATAATGCAGGATCCTATAATGCAGGATAACCTTTTGGCAGTACTTCTTTGTGGTGGGGGCTGTCCTTGCATTGCAGCATCCCCATCCATTACCCACTAGATGCCAGTAGCATGCCACTATACCCCTGCCCCCAGTTGTGACAACCAAAATGTCTCCAGACATTGCCAAAGGTCCTGTGGCAGAAGCAATACAACTCTCAGTTAACCACTCCCCTGATGTGCTTAATGAATTAAGTATAAAAATGTTTCAGAAAATATAGTTTTCTTAGTATGTAAAGTTAAAGTTTTATTATTATTACAATGTTCTTGGCAGCTCCAAAACATTTTGAACTAGAAACGTAAACAGAATAATTTGGTGATTGATGCCCAGCACATTTCAGTTAAAGAGGAGCTCAGTTCTGTTGTTTAGATTTCGGGGAGATTCGATTTAGGCTTCTGATACATTGTGTGGTTATGGAAAATCTCACTGGGATAGTTCTTGTCAGCCAGCATGGATATGTAATGTGACCCTGGCATTCATTCTGTGGTCGTTACCCTTAAATATTCCAGATTATTCACTTAAATTGCATAGCTAGATTGTATTTTAGTGTGGAGAAAAGCTTGCCCATTTTGTTGGCGGTTGTCACAGAACAGGTGCATGCAGTTTTTGAAGTTCAGCCTATATAAAGTGAAAAAGAATGCATTTTTGTTCTAAGCAAGGTGAAGCAGTAATCCAACAGTATACTTCCACTGGCATTCCTGGAGTTCTGATTAAGAATCAGGCACTTTGCAATGGCTGGGGATACAACAATGAAGCTGAGCGGAACTAAATCCCTTTCAATATGGGAAGAAAGAGAGTGAGGCATCCAGTACTACTCACCTTAGGTGAGAAAGTTGACTTGTTGGGTTTTTCAAAAATAGACTCAACTCATGAGTAAAAGATTCCTGTTGTTGAAATAATTGTTCCTTATTACCCCCAAGCCAAACTGTATTAGGTGTTTCTTCACTCGAGTTTGGCAATTTCATAAAGGAATGATTTAGTGGATAGTTCATACTTTCTTGAACACCCCAGTGGTCTGAAGTTCAAAAGAGCAGCCCTGAAGGCAGAAGAAAGGTATGGAGAAGTCCATAAAAGTGCAACAATTGTAGCCTGAGGTATATATATTT